TATATATATATAAATATATAAATGAATGAATCGGTTGTTCACACATGAGATTCCTGAGTAGTGCTGTGGTGGCTCCAGACTGCCTTTTTGTCACCTTAGGGAACGAACAGTCATAGTCATGGAAAGTCAAGCTGGCAGGACAAACAGCTTTATCCAAGTTCAAACTGGGTACCACTAGACTGATTGCTAGTGCGGTCTGAATGCAAGTCTGCCTCAGTGTGGGAACTGGTATCTACTTGTAGGATGCTTACGTTAATATGTGAGCTTATATAAGTAAAGGCCCTTAAGCGATTTCTGATACAACTAGTAAATGCCAACAGATGCTCGCAGCACTGTGGTTAGCGTGTAGCTGTTGGCTGGTGGGTTTCAGGTAGATAATCTGCAGAGAGCGAGCAGTACTGTGTGATGTTTGCTGACTGATGTTCGATGTTGTTGATTAATGATTGATGTGAACAGGATTCCATATAAGCCTGTATCAGAGGAATGGAGATTGCCTCTGTCCACTTAGATTCATAAGCTGTCCCGAAGTGATCTTGGCATCAGGGAAGGGAGTTCAGGCACATTTCACCATCAGCATCACGGGATGGCAGCCATTGATTTGTCCCATGGTAAGTGCTTGTTGAAGCTCTTTTTCAGACTGTCTCAGGGCTCTCCTGTGCAGCCATCATTGGGTAGGGCCTCAGCAGTCATGCTGTGTGTTGGTTTAGGAAGAGCTGAAGTGGGGCGCAGAGTGCTGCTCGGTGGTTCAGGCCCCCTGTGTGTATGCTGGCAGAAGAGGTGTTGTCTAATTCATGATTCTGTCACCAGGGGCTCGCTCATTTGGAGTCACTTTTTTTTAAAATTTCATTTACTACTACTACTACTACTACTACTACTATCACTATTATTGTGTGCACGTATATGTGAGAGTGGATGTGTGTGTGCAAGTGTATGTGTGGAGGTTAAGACAATTTTTTTGTGTGTGTGAGTTTCATACAATACATTTTGATCATATTTAGACCCCCTCCCCTATCATCACCTCCCTCATAGCCCCCCCACCAGATTTCATGCATTCTGTCATATATTTTAAGGCTTATGAAGCCACATTTGTGTCCCCAAGTGTCCCTTGGTGTGAGTCCATCCACTGGAGCTTAGTCGACCTATTTAGTGTCATTCTTGGGACAGTTTTTGAGGGAGTCAGTTCTCTCCTTCCTTGGGACCCTGGGATCAAACTTGGGGTATGAGTTTACACAGCAAGTGCTTTAACCTGCTGCTCCATCTTACTGGTCCCAGAGTCACATTTTTCATGGCTTAAGTTTCTTTATCTGTAAAGTGAGAGTCCGACCCTTTCTCAATGGGTTGCGTAGCCCACAGCCTGGCCCCGGCTCCAGGGGAACAGAACTGCTGTGGCATGCCATGGTGGCAGTGTGGATGTGGATTGGTATGTGCTGAGTGTGGATGACGGGACTCTCAGACTAGAGTAGAATGACATCATGGTGTAGATGTGGGGATGACACCGTCTATGCCATCTTTCTTTCCTGTCAGGCCTTCTTTCTAGAGAGCCTGTCTACTTTTATGAAGAAAACACAGAGGTAGAAGGGACAGTGGCTGACGACCAGGCAAGTTGCTATCAGGTAAAAAGAAAGAAAAAGAAAGAGTCTCATTGGAGCCCCCCACCCCTGTGATCCAGACACATTTCGTTCTAGACAAACTTGGCCTCCAGAGTGTCTTAAAGGACATACGCTGTCATTCAGGCTCAGAGTCCCTGTCTGAATTTCTCCAGCCTTATATTGGTGACTTGTTACCTTAAAAACCATCCTAGCTTTTCTGTAATTGCTAATTAATGTTTTTGTGGGGCTGGGGATGAATCAGGTTCTTGTACCCATTCTAGGCCAGTGCTCGGTGTTATATCCTTACCCGTACTAATTAATTTTTTTTTTAAAGACAAGATCTGGCTCTGTAGCCTATCCTTGAACTGTGTAGTCCAGCCTGGTCTCGGCCTCCTGAGTGCTGGGATTACAGACACGCACCCCTCCATACCTGCCCCCATTAACTAATCTTGAGCCTCATGTGATGAGTGCATGTTTGTTGTTTTGTTGAGTGCTCTGACAGATATAAGGCAGATGGAAGCATCCTTTACTCAGAGGATCTATTCCTTAACGTTTATCCGATGTCCACAGTGTGCTCAGGAGCGTGCCACGATGAGACGATAGGACTAGAAGAGTGCCTAGCCTGGCTGTGCTGCTAGAAATCATGATTAGGAAGTGCTGGTAAAGGCATGTGCCATAGGAGGTCAGCGGAGAGGGAGTGTAGAGAAGAGTTCCTAGGACCATTGCACCCTGAGGATGGATCGCCCGCTCTGAAAACCCTGGATAGGTATTAGGTCCCCTTTCCTAATTCTCCATCAAGCTTTAGTGAGACGGTTAATTGGCTCCAACTGGCATGTGTGTAATGGTTTAGGATTCAGTGACCTTTGACGATGTGGCTGTGGAGTTCACCCCAGACGAGTGGACTTTACTGGACCTGACTCAGAGAGACCTGTACAGAGAGGTGATGCTGGAGAACTACGAGAACTTGACCTCAGTAGGTAAGGCTGCCACCATTCCTAGTAACCTTGTGTGGAGCAGATATGTAGTACCAGCTTCCTACTGTGTTGGAGAATTGGTCTTGTTGATTTTTCATATAGTGAGGTAATGGGAAATGACATATACAAGATTATTTATTATTTATTTATTTATTTTTGGTCTTTTGAGACAGGGTCTCCCTGTAGCCCCAGCTGTCCTGGAACTCACTGTGTAGACCAGGCTGACCTTGAACTAACAGAGATCCGCCTGCCTCTGCCTCCTGAGTGCTGGGGTTAAAGGTGTGTGCTACCACACATGTCCTTAATTTTTTTATTTCCTTATTTAAAGAAACTGCTTTTCTGTGTAGTGTGATGGCACACACCCTTAAATCCTAGCAGTTGGAGGCAGAGGCAGGTGGATCCCTGAGTTTGAGGCCAGCCTGGTCTACATAGTGAGTAATGTCTTCTGATTCTTGTGTTAGGTTTACACAGAGGCAGAGGGGGTGTCGGCATCTCCCTCAGTCATTCTCCATCCTGCTCCTTTGAGTAGGGTCTTTCCCTGAAACCGGAGCTCACGTTTTTCAGCTAGGCTGGCAGCCAGAAGGTCCCAACCATCCTCCTAACTCTACTCCCCCCTCACTGTAGTTACAGGCAGGTGCAAGACCTTAACCAGCATGTTGTGTGGGCTGTAGGATGGGAACTCAGGTCTTCATGGTTGTGCAGCAAGTGCTCTGAATCACTGAGTCATCTTCCCGAGCCCTAACATAAAATTCTTGCCGTAAGGGGCTAGATAGCTGGCTTAGCGGGTAAGAACACTGGTTGCTCTTCCAGAGGACCTGGGTTTGCTTCCCAACATCCACATGGCAGCTAGCAACTGTCTGTAACTCCACTTCCACAGGACTCCAACACCCTCTTCTGACCTCAGCAAACATTGCATGACACAAGTGCACTTACATAGATGCAGGCAATACACTCATACACATAAAATAAAATTAAAAAAAAATAATAAAAATTCTTGCCACAATACAAATTGACCTACTGCAGAGATTTCCCTCTAGTGTCCCCCTCCGCTTTTCCTTTTACCCTCTCCTCTCCCTTCCCTCTCTGTCTTTTCCTTTCTCTTCTCCCCTCCTTCCTTTCCTTTCCCACTCACCTTTTTGTTTGCTGGTTTGGTTTGGTGGTTTTTGGTTTTTTTTTTTCCTTTTTGGGACGGGGTTTCCATGTAACCCCAGCTGTCCTGGAGCTCAATGAATAGACCAGGCTGGCCTCCATCTCACAGAGATCCATCTGCCTCTGCCTCCTGAGTGCCAGAATTAAAGCCTGTACCACCATGCCCTGCACTCTCACCTTTTTTTGAAACAGGGACTCACTGTATAAAACAGACTGGCCTCAAACTTGCAGTCTTCTGTTTTCACTCCCTCAGCCCCCGTCAAATGCTGGGATTACATGTGTGTGTCACCATGCCTAGCAAACTAGACTCATTTTTGTCATGTGTGTGTGTGTGTGTGTTTGTGTGTGTGTGTGTGTGTTTGTGTGTTTGTGTGTTGATGGGGATCCAATCCCAGGATTGTGCACATGCTAGGAAAGTACTTTCCCATTGACGTATAGCCCCCTCTTGAACAGTCTTAGTGTCGATTTGTACAGTAGCTTGCATTGGGCTTTCATGGGGTAGAGCGAACCTGTCTTTTTTGGAGCATGGAAGTGGGGATTTTTTATTTTCTGGTGCTGGGAATTGTACTCAGAGCCTTATGCATGTTAAACTGGCAGTCTCCTATTAGGCGCACCCCTCCCCCCGTACTTTTATGTGTATATATACATGCCTGTGTGAGTTTATATGCACCACATGTGTGCAGGAATTCATGGAGGCCACAAGGCATCTGGTCCTTGAACTAGAGTTACAGGTGGTTGTGAGCTGCCTGATGTGGGTACTTAAAACTGAATCTGGGTTCTCTGCAAAATCAGTAAGTGGTCTTAACCACTGAGCCCCTATTTTTACCCATTTTGAAAGTGTTAACTTTGCTTTCATTTGAATTGTAATTTCCTTAGCTACAGAAAAGTTTGTCTTGTTGGAGCCTCTTCCATTCATGTGTCTTTTTGCCTTTACAGGTTGTCAGTTCTTCGTACCTGGCCTGATCCCCTGCTTAAAACAAGAGGAGCTGGAGATAGTGGAAAGTGCAGTTCCTCAAGGTGTGTATTCAAGTTCAGTATGGTTATACAACTATAATGGAATTTTCTTAACAGTATACTAGCCTCAAAAGTTAAAGCCATTTTTCTCAGATTTAGGATATCTTCCATTTACATAATCTATTGTTTCTATCTATTCAGATGTACCTATGATTTTACAAAACTATCTGTCCCATCCCATACGTTTATGCTTCGATGTTAGCTGTTTTACCAGACCTTTCTGACTTTCCTGTTGTTTATGATCTTTGCTCTTCATAGGACAGCTTCCAGTGTACTATGTAAAACGTTGGCCTTGCCTCCTTACTACTGCCTTTTGTTTTGCTTCTTTGTTTTTGCTCTGGTTTTATTTATTTACTTATTGTTTTGAGGCAGGATCTCCCTGTAGCCCCAGCTGGCCTGGTTCTTGCTATGTAAACCAGGCTGGCCTTTGATCTAGCAGAGATCTACTACCTCTGCCTTTACCTGCTGAATTCTGGGAATAAAGGTGCCTGTCACCAGACCTGGCTTTTTGTAGTTGTCGTTTTTGTAGTGCTGGCCATAGAACCCAGGGCCTGGGCATGTGAGGTGACCACCCCACCACTGAGCTATACCCTCAACCCTATCACCAAATTTTTAACAGAAGCCTCAACTCTGTATAGTTGTTTCATGTGTAGATGTACATGTGTGACAGGGGGATGTGGGTGTGTGAAGACCAGAAGAAGATGTCTGATCCCCAGGAACTGGAGTTTTGGACAGTTGTTAGCTGCCATGTGGGTGCTGGGAGCCAAACTGGGGTCTCTGCAAGAGAGTTAGTGCTCTTAACCACTGAGCTATCTCTCCAGCCCCTGGTGGTTAGCTTTTAATTGTCAACTTGCTGCAACATAGAATCACCTGGGAAGAGACCATCAATGAGGGATTGTCAAATCCTTTTGGCCTGTGGAAGATTGACTTGATTGTTCATTAAAGTAGGAAGACCTGCCTACTGTGGGCAGCACAGTGCTTTTAAGCACTGAGTCATCTTTCCAACCCTGGTCCTAGGTCTTGTACTCAGGTTAGGCTTAGCAGTAAGTACCTTTACCCACTGAAGCATCTTGAAGGCCCTACCTTATTTTTTGAGACCAGGTCTCTCATTTGGACCAGGGATTTACTGATTAGGATAGTCTGGCTGGGCAGTGAACCTCAGGGATCTGCCTGTGTCCACAGTGCTGGAATCACAGGCAGATGTCACCACACCCAGTTTGGGCTTTTGGTTTCGTTTTTAAAGATTTATTTTATTCATGTATATGTGTGTGTTTTTGTGTGCGGGTATGTGCAGTGCACCAGGAGGCCAGAAGAGGGCATTGATCCCTTAAGGTGGAGTTACAGGCAGTTGTAAGCACAGATCCTCTACAAGAGCAGCCTCCATATTCAGCTTTTTTACGTGGGTTCTAGGGTTCAAACTCAGCTTTACTGACTAGCTATCTCTGCTACGCTTTTTCCTTATTTTTGTTTTTTCTTTTATTCAGAGTCTTGTTATATGGCTCAGGCTGGTCTTGAACTTGATCCACTGGCATCAGCCTCCCATGTGCTAAGATTGCAGCTGTGTACTATCACATCTGTCTCACTTTTATTTTCTTAATGTGTTTAATTTGAAAACAAGGACAAATGACCCTTGTCACTTTTAACTCATATACCATTTTTCCCTCTGATCTTACATTTTTCTTTCTTTTTAGTTTCAGAATTGGAACTACATCCTAGAAGTGACGAATCAGAATTTCAGGATTATTTTAGGATGCAGAGTTCCAGTGGAAGAGAAATGGTAAGAATTTTCTTATTTCATACTCAGAAAAGATTGGGGATTCCTTTGTAGACATTACTACAAAGGAGACATATTGGAGAGACATAGCCACTCAAGAGGGAGCAATGCTTCTGGAGAGCTGTTCAGCATCTCATGAATTGGGAGATGCCCCAGACATGTCATAAAGCTTTTGTTTTAGGGTTCCCACAGTATACATTCCCACATATGCAACTAGACATGGAGTTTTAAAATAATTTTATGAAAATTTACACATTAAAAAATTAGAGGGGGCTGGAGAGATGGCTCAGTGGTTAAGAACACTGACTGTTTTTGCAGAAGGGGACCCAGGTTCGAATCCCAGCACCCACATGGCAGCTAACAACTGTCCGTAACTCCAGTTTCAGGGGATTCGATAGCCTCTCTTGTCCTCCGTGGGCATTGCACGACATGGGTGCACTTACCTACATGTAGGCAATACACACATGCCACACATAAAATAAAAATAATAGAATATTTTTTAAAATTAGATATATTTATACTTAAATATAATATAGCCAGTGGACAAGATTGTGGCAAAAAGATCCATCATTCAGTTTGAAAGAAATAAACTCGTCAGGAAATTGGGGGCTGGAGAGATGGCTCAATGATTAAGAGCACTGGTTGCTCTTCCAGAAGACCTGGGTTCAAATCCCAGTGCCCGCATGGCAGCTAACAACTGTCCATAACTCCAGTTCTAGGGGATCTGACGCCCTCTCTGGCCTCTGAGGGGCATTGTACGCACATGGTGCACTTACATACATGCAGGCATCATACACATATTACAATTAAAAACTTTAATTCTAAGAAGTCATGATTGCATGAAGTAGAAACTATAAAAGTCATAATGAGCATCAAAATATTTTTGTTTTCAGATGGATGATTCATCTCTTCAAGAGGCAAGAAGCCACAATGAACAGGACCAGGGTGACTCTAAGCCATGTGTAGAAGTGTTGGGTGAACAGTCCTGCCTTAACACAGAGGTGAGCATGCAAAGTCAAGGAGATACTTCTGAGAGTAACTGGTATGGAAAAGACATTCTCAGTTTGCTCAAGGAAACCTCTACAGGACAGAACCTTTCTGAGCTTAATCAGTGTGGAAAAATCTTTGGTCTGACTCCAAACATCATGTACCCTAGCACAAGCACTAGCACAAATGAGAAACCCTTTGAATGTACAGACTGTGAGACAGCCTTTTTTAATCAGCCATACCTTCAGGCAGATATGAGACCTCACAATGGAGGAGAACCCTTTGAATGGAATAAATATGGGAATGGATTTATTCATCCCACAGGCCTTGCTATGCATCTTCCAATTCTCAATGCAAGAAACCCCTACAAATTTGAGGAATGTGGAAAGGACTTTCAATATTTTGCATGCCTTAATAATCCCATGGGAATGTGCACTGGAGAAAAATTCTGCGACTGCAAGGAATGTTGGAAAGCCTTCACGGTTTCCTCACACCTAACTCAATATGTTTCAGTTCATACTGAAGAAAAATCCAAAGTATGTAAGATATGTGGGAAGGCCTTTGCTAATTTTTCTCGACTTTCTGCACATATAAAAACTCATAATGAAGAAAAGCCTTTTGTATGTAAGGAGTGTGGAAAGGCCTTTAAAAATATGTCATACCTAAATGATCACGTTAGAATTCACACTGGAATAAAATCATATAAATGTATGGAATGTGGGAAAGCCTTCCTTCGGTGGTCAGGCCTTACTGAACACATAAGAGTTCACACTGGAGAAAAGCCTTACGAATGTAAGGAATGTGGGAAAACCTTTTCTAGATCTACTCAGCTCACTGAACATATAAGAACACACACTGGAATCAAACCTTATGAATGTAAGGAATGTGGGAAGGCTTTCACTCAGTACTCAGGCCTTGCTACACATGTACGAATTCATAGTGGAGAGAAACCCTTTGAATGTAAGGAATGTGGGAAGGCCTTTACCAGGACCTCTGGCCTGATTCATCATGTGAGAACTCACACAGGAGAGAAGCCTTTTGAATGTATTCATTGTGGGAAAACCTTCATTACTTCCTCCCACCGCACTAAACACCTAAAAATTCACAGTGGTGAAAAACCCTTTGTGTGTAATATATGTGGAAAAGCATTTGTATATTCCACATCCCTTAACATTCACATGCGAACCCATACTGGAGAGAAACCGTATATATGTAAGCAATGCGGGAAAGCATTCTCCGTTTACTCACGCTTAAGAAAGCATATGAGAGTTCACACTGAGGAGAAGCCCTATGAATGTGAGGGTATGGGTGTTGCTATTTAGCCCATCTGTTGCCACCTTTAAATGTTGCCAGTGACACCAAAGATAATCAGATTAGTCTTAACTGCCTGTGTGGGTTGTAATCTCTCAGACTGGCATTAGATGCCATCCTAATTGTATGAAATATGATACAGATGCCCCCTTGAACGTTTCTTCTTTTGGGCAGTGCTGGGGGTTGAACCTAGGGCCTCACACATGCCCAACAAGCACTCAGTCACTGAGCTGCAATTCCTGGAACCTGTTTATGGATAACTGAGCACCTGTGGATCATGAGGTCAGTGCTATAGATTGGCCTCAGTCTTGTGCATAACTCCTAGGATCGTAGCATTTTTAAATGCTGTGAGATAATGAAGCATTTGATCCTGTTGGTTAGTGGCTGTTAGTGTGAAAATTCACCAGAAACCAAGATGATCTAGGGAACAGGTGGATTGTTGAAAGACATTCCTCCAGCCAACTGCCAACTACTCTGCCCCCATTGATCCTGTTGAGCATACCAAGATATGGTTATTACCATTCTGAATAGTCTATTTACAGACATTTATTCCTGTGACCCTTTATAAAATTCAAGAAGTCCCTTCTGAACCACCTTTTGAATCCATTTTGAAGTGACATCTCTTCACATAATCCAGTATCTATTTCTCTCTTCTGTTAAGGTTGCTGATTTGAGGGTTGAACTGAGGGTCTCATGCATGCTACACAAGTACTCTGCCACTGAACCACACCCCCCAGGCCTTAGTTATTTTCTTTAGTTCGAATTGCTCAGTTATTCAAGTATAGATAGGCTGAGAGTTTTTCAAGTTCTGGATCCCTTTTGCTTAACAATTCCTTCTTTGCTTCAGCTCTCTTCCCTTTTGTATCTTACTAAAAGCAGTTAGGAGGAACCATGTTGCTCCTTTTTAAAACGTGATTTACAAATGTGGCCTATATTTCTGATTTTATCACTCAGATTCTAACTTCCACACAAAATGCTGGACTACAGCTCTGCCATGTTTGTTGCTACTGCCTCTCAGTGGTTGGTTTTTCTTGGTTCCTCATAAAGCCTCTACTCAGTTTCAAAGCTGCTTGCACATGTCTAGGGTTTTTTGTTTTTTTGTTTTTTACTGCAGCACCTAGTACAACAATCTGCTGTATTTGGCTTAGACCAGCACAGCAGAACACCATAGGTAGCCCAGCTTCGTGGCTCAGTGGGTAAAGGCACTTGTTGCCAGGCCTTATAACTTGCATTTGATCCCCAGGACCCACATGGTGGAAAGAAAGGAGGACTCCTTCAAGTTGTCCTTTGCTTCCTTATGAGCACCATGGCATGTACACCCACACACATACATACACACAGGTATACACAACACAGATATTAAAAACAAAAATGCCATAGACCAAATTGCCTAAAAGTCACTTAAATTCTTTCTTATGTTAGTATATAAAGTAACAATTTCATTGTAGCTTTTCACATACACATGATGTTATACTTTTATGCTGTGTCCTCATTAGGTCTCCACTTTATGGATAAGATTTTAAGGTTGGGGGTTTAGCTCAGTGCTAATAGTCCTTGCTTAACATGCAGTGCTAGTTTTGAACTCCAGCACTGGAAAAACAAAATATATAGAAATTTTCTCACATTTGTTGAGGCTAAAGGTCTAACATTAATGACAGCATGGGGACTGGGAAGATGGTGAATAGATAAAAGCACTTGCCACGCAAACATGACCAGAACCCATGTAAGTGCCAGGTGGGTATGAAGGCCCACCTGTAATCTCAGTGTTCAGAAAGCAGAGACAGGATTCTGGGGCAGTCTGGCTAGCTACATTACTTGACTCCTTGAGCTCTGGGCTCAATAAGAGAACCTGCTACAGTAAATAAAATAGAGAGCAATTGAGGAAGACATCTGATGTCAACCTCCACATATGCCACATGCGCAAATGAACATACTTGTATACACATGCAAAAAAAAAAAAATACTAGCATGTTTGACTTTTGGTGAGGCCTCTCTTCTTGGCACGAAATTTCCTTTACACGAGGAAGCCTGAAAATGCTATGTTCCTCCTCTGATATAGTCACAGCCTTCTTGGATGAGGTTTCCAGTCTTTGACCTCAACCATAAAGGATTCACAGTCGTGCAGTGGTTTAGATTTAGCATGAATTTGGGGTGTTAGTTCAGGACATTTCCATACACATTCTGTTGGCTTCCCAGGCAGGCAGTCACATCTGTAGATAATGGTGGCATTCATTTTCTGTGTGTTCCTTTAGAGAAATGAGTATGCTGTCCCACACAGTAGTGAAAGAATAAAAGGAGCATACTTTCCTTTAGAACGCTAATGATATATACTCTCAGTCTTAGTGACTTGCTTGTTGGATAGGTTTTTTAATACTGGGTTTTTGCATAAAGATCTTACAATGCTTCATAATTATTGACTGCTTTCTCTGCATCCTTTGTGATGATCATGTTTATTTACTGGTACGACTCAAGTACCTAGGATTTCATTTGACCCATAGTACCTAATAAGTACATGAGTGAGTAACATGACTCTAAAATAAAGGTGATCATTTAGTAATGATGATGATTATTTATTAGTTTTCTGTTAATCTTGCATTCCTAGATACGGTCAATACATAATTTTTACATTAAGGATCATTTTTGTTTTGTATGGTTGCTTGGGTAGTGAACCCAGGGCCTTAAGCACATTAGGCAAGCAAGCACTCTGCCACTGAGCTACATCTCCAGCCCAGTGGATCATTTTTAATACTTAAGTTGATTATGTTTGCTAACACGCTATAAAAGCTTTTCATAGGTTAGGTATGCTTCAGTAACATTGGCATATAAATTGTCTTTATATAGACGATGGAATTGGTGGTACAGGTTGTATGTGTTTAGCTTGCACAAGATCCTGGGTTCAGTCCTCAGCACCACCGAAATAAAATTTTAAATGAGCTTAATGGTATAGCTGTAGATTATAACAGTGTCATATACTGAGCTAGGCGAATTTCCGCCTTTTCTAAATCCTTTACCTGTTCACTTGTTCAGTTATCCTGATCTAGAGTAATTGTTACTGTTTTAGGTATTCATTTTCTGTAATTTTAAACTGTTTGCTCAATTTCTTTTGTTTATAGGACACCTAAGATTTCCAATATTAAGATTTTGAGTATATTTTTCTAGGCATGCTTTCATTTTCACATGTGAAGCAAAAATTAATTTTTTTCTTGTATACCTAATGTTTCCTGATTGTAAAATTAAGTTTACTCTGGGTCTGTCTTGCATTCTCCAATGATCTGTGTATTCTTTCCCTTGAGTTAATCTTGAAAGTATTCAGTATTCTTGCAAAGAATATTTGTCTAAAGAGTGTAGTGCTACACATTGGTAAGCCCAGGACTGAGGTGGGAGGATCACAAATTCAATGTTACCCAGAGCCTGGGCTACTTAGTGAGACACTTGTCCCAAAAAGACAAAAAACAAGTGTACCCAAAGGTGCATTTGGGACCTGGTAAATCATTTGGGGAAAAACTGTCTTGAACTATTCAAATTTTCTGATACAGTTTTTATTCCATGGACTCTGGTAAATAGTTACATGGTTATATTAGCTTTTCTTATTTTAGTAGTCTTTTTGTATCCTTGGTAAAAATTGTTTTTGGTGCTAGGATTCAAATGTAGAACTTTCCACATGCTAAGCATGTGCTCTACCACTAATGTATAACCCAGCTCTAGATGTCTTTATATATACTTTAGTTGGAGTTCAAAAACTCTGAATACTTGAAAAATCCCAACTAACAATTCTTTTACCCTGAACATTTAGTCCATTATGTATAATGCAATTGATAGCAAATTTGGATTAATTTCTAGATCTTGTTTTTTCTGTATTTGTTGCATGTGCTCTTATCTTGGTATTGATGTTTTTCATTGAAATTTTACCCGATGCTTGAAGCTTATGTACTCCATTACTTATATTTTAGTTGCTATCCTAAGACATTAAAATCAGTTCTAAAATTAAATCTTTGTTACAGCTGTGTCTTTCTAACTAAGTAGACTAGATACCTTGCATATGTGGATTCCAATCATTCACTGTCTGAGCATCACACTTGAAGAGACCCAGAAATAAGTGCACCTTCACACAAGCCACCGAACAACTAACTCTAGCTGGAGAAAGCTAAATGGGCCTCTTGACAAAAGGCCCAGCACATCCAGGGAAAGATTACAGCCATAAATTCCTTGAAGTTACATTAGAAGGTGGAGTATGTTTGCTTTCCTCTTTTGTGTGAACTGGTCTTGACTGACCAATAGAAGTCAGCAGAACTCATTCTTTAAAGTTCCTCAAGAGGCTTCTAGTAACATTACAGTTTACAGCTACTAAACTGTGGGATTATTAAATAAGGCCAGCGAATAACACAAACTGATAACTGGTTCTTCATTGATGTATTTGGGAGTCCCTCTCTCCAGCAGCATAGAATTCTGTCTGGATGACTGAGCATTTCCCAGTGACCTGGGATGAGAAAAACCAAGTTTGAGGTCGGCTTCCTTTGTTAAGGAACCCTAGGCACGCAGCATAGCTAGGGGCTAAGAAAATAGCTGCTAGGCAGTGATTCCCAAAAGCATTCAGAAGCTAGCTGTGGAGCCCCTTTGAAGCACCTGGAATGTTGGTAATCAACCGAAAGCAATTCCAACGCCTAGAGGTCCAGAAAGCGACTAAGGCCAGACTGCCATCTGTTCCTGTTGAATCATGTAGCTGGCCAGAGCAGGCGGAGGGAGGAAGTAAAGTTTGTGATGAGCCTACCGTGGGGTGAGTACCCACAGCAAGCACAGCGTTTCAAATGGCGGTCAACGGGTCGTCCCACACCCCCGCCAACAGCGTCCCCACTGACCACTTCCGCTCCCACCCATAGCCCCATCCACAGCCCAGGTCGTGTCTTCGCGGCTTGCGTCGACCTGCCGCCCCCGCTCTGATCCCACCACCCGCCTCTCCGCCCTCGCGGGGGAAGAAAGAATTCCTGACCAAAATAGTTCAATGCCGCTAAGACCTGAGCTTTCGAATTCCCCCTTTTCTGGTCCCCGCAGTGAACGCGTTAGCGGGCGGAAGTGACGTCAGTGGATTGCGGTTGTCTCTTCCGGCCCTTAGGTACGTTGAAAGACTCTGGGTTCAGTGGGGGAACTCCGGCCTTCGTGAGTTCCGCATTATAGGGACTGCTTGCAGGTTGAGAGGGAGGATGAAGAACGAGTGTGGCCCGGGCCTCCGCTCCTCCGAACGAGGTACTTCCGGCTGTGGCCATGTTTGACAGGCTGGCCACTTTGGACTGTCAATCACCGGAGTGGGAAAGCGCTGGAGGGCGTGGCCTGGAGCTGTTCTGTCTGATCCACAACGCTCCCTCTGCAAAAGCCGCCAAAGCAAAATTCGTAGGGAAAAGATCTTTTTCCGCCACACCGAAGGAAACGAGTTTGGGCTGATGGAGTGACCAGCGTCATTAACCTGGCGATTGCAGCGCCTCTGGTGAGCACTTAGTGAAAGATGGTTGGAAAAGGCTCTATTCCTTAAAACAACAACAAAAACTAGAATGTCACGACTGAGAATTTGACATATTGTTGGGTTGTGTTTTATATTGTGTTCATTGTGACCATTAGTTTAAGATATAAAGATATTTTAAGTATCTGAACTGTCCATTTAAAATTTTATGTTTAGATGTGTGAGTGTTTTGTCTGAATGTATGTAAGTGCACCCATGTCATGCAATGCCCGCGGAGGCCAGAAGAGGGGTTAGGATCTCCTGCATCTGGACTTAGGTGCAGTGCTGGGAACTGAACCCAGGACCTCTGCAATAGCAGCCAGTGCTCTTAATTACTTTCCAGTTCTCCTGCCCCTAAGATGTTGGTAAACCTCAAGACTCTACTACATAAAAACAAACAGGGCATGGTGACACTTGCCTTTAATTCCAGCGTTAGGGAGGCAGGAGCCTTCTGATCTTTATGAGTTCCAAGCTAGCCAGAGCTACACAGTGAAAATCTTGTCTCAAAGTAAAACAAAACCCACAAAGATAAATAGGAAAATAAGATTAATGAGCAATTTTTTTCATCTGAAATTCCTAGGCCTGTGTTATTTTTTCTTTCCCCTTATGCTAGTGATCAAATCCAGGGCCTCCTGCATGGCTAGGCATATTTCCACTCTTAGGTCTGTGCATTACAGCATTACTTAAAAACATGGACCTCTGGGAAGAAAGGTGGGAAGCTTTATTAAAATCATAGAATTAAACTATTTTTTTAAAGGTTTAAAAAAAATTTTTTTTAATGTGTATGAGTGTATTGCCTGCATGTAGGTGAGTGCACCTGTGTCGTTCAATGCTGTGGTGGTCAGAAGAGGGCTTTGGATTCCCCTGGAACTGGAATTAAGGATGGTTCGAAGCTGCCATGTGGGTGCTGGGAATCGAACCTGGGTCCTCTGCAAGCGCAGTCAGTGCTCTTAACTGCTGAGCCATCTCTTCATCCCCGAATTAAACTTTTAAAAAATTTTTATTTACTTTTATTTTATGCATTTGAGTGTATTGCCTGCATGTATATGAGTGTACCCGTGTCATGCAATGCTGGTGAAGGTCAGAAGAGGGCATTGTATTCCCCTGGAACTAGAGTTACAGAAGGTTGTTAGCCATCATGTGGGTACTGGGAATCAAACCTGAGTCCTTTGCAAGAGCAGTTAGTACTCTTAAACGCTGAGCCATCTCTCCAGCCCCAGAATTAAACTATTAACAAGATTGTTGAATTGGTGTACTTTCCCCCAACATTTCTCTCTTTTTGTTTTTTAAAAAGCAAACTGAAATGTCCTAGCCTATTTGACCGTCCAGTATCTGGTGTGGTAGATTCACTTGTATGTTTGCTCTTCCCCCAAAATAGATAAGTATATTATATGGTGATTTATTTGCTAAGAAGTAAGCTGAAAATAAAGCAGGACATGGTGTCACATGCCAGCAATCCCTGCAACTCAATAGATGTAGGCAGGAGAACTGGATTTCTATGCAAGCTTTCTTGCATAGTGAGTTTCAGGCCAGCCTGGGCTACATGGTGAGATCCCGTCTTAAGAAAAATAATAGTAGGTACAATGCTCAACTCTGAAGTCCTTGGTAATGTACATCCTCTCCATTAGGAGATTGTCTGACTCAAAGCAAAAGATATTTGAATCAAGAAAGTTAACTGGAAAGTTGGTAGAGCATTTGCCTAGCTTCAAGTCCTGGCTTCAGTTCCTAAACTGAGTGTGGTAGCCCATGCCTGTATCCCAATATTCAGCATGTGGAAGTAGGAAGATCAGGAGTTCAAGGCCATCCTTTGCTACTTAGAAGCCAGCCTGTGTGTTAGAGGTCTGGAGAGATGGCTCAGTGGTTAAGAGCACTGACCGCTGTTGAAGAGGATCCAGGTTCCCAGCACCTGTGTGCACTATATGTGTGCAGTGCCCATGGAAGCCAGAATGGGGTGTTGGATCCCCTGGAACTGGAGTTACAGATGGTTGTTAGCCATCATGTGGGTGTTGGAAACTGAACCTGGGTCCTCTGCAAGAGTGGCCAGTGTTCTTTAACCACTGAGCCAGCTCTCCAGCCTTGTGCCTTTTTTTTTTTTTTTTTTTTTTTTTTAAACTGTGGAGATGCGTTTTTCAGGGCAAGCTTTTAAGGCATGTATTCTACATCAAAGGACAGATGTACATTTTATTTTGGTGTAAGTTATTATTTTTTTCTTTCCTTAGGTCTTGTACCCATAGGACAATTTCTAAATGAACCTTATTAAACTTTGTGTAAAAGTTATTCTGGGTTGAGGCTGGCATGGTGGCACACACCTTTAATCCCAGCACGTGGGAGTCAGAGGCAGAGGCAGGCAGATCTCTATGAGTTCAAGGCCAGCCGAGGCTACAAGGAGACCCTGTCTCAAAACCAAAAATAAACAAATAAATAAACAAACCAGTTAAGATTTACAGGCTAATCCAGGTGTGATGGCCCATGCCTTTAGTCCCAGCATTCTGGAGGCAGAGGCAGGTGATCTCTGACATAGAGGCCAGCCTGGTTTACATAGCAAGTTCCAGGCCAATTGGGGCTATAGGGAGACCCTGTCAAAACAAACAAAACAAAACAAAACACTAAACTATAAACAAAACTAAAAACTAAACTGCAGGCCAGGTGTGACCCTGCATGTCTTTAATTTCAGCACTTAGGAGAGAGGCAGAAGAGGATCTCTGAGATCTGAGCCAGCCTGGGCTACATAGAGCGTTCCAGCCCAGTCAGGACTAGAGTCCAGAGACAGCACGTTGTCCCCAGGGAAGGCAAATAGTGATGTGGTATGTCACTCCACCTTCTCCACTTCTGTGTGTGTGTGTGTGTGTGTGTGTACTACATATATAATATATATATTTGGAAACGATACCCCAGTTCTCATATTCCACATGAATTTAATCTAGTTTGGAATCTCATGGTTATACCTGGGTATGGTGGTACATGCCTGTAATTCTAGTACTTGGTAGGCTGAGGCTGTAGGATTGCAAGTTCAGGGCCAGCCTGGGAGATACTCTGTCTCAAAAAAAAAAATCAGCTGGAAATGAAGTTCTAACCATTGTCCTTGTAGTTGGTGTATTAGGTTCTTTTTTTTGGTCTTTTTGAGACAGGGTCTCCCTGTAGCCTCAGCTGTCCTGGAACTCACTATGTGGACCAGGCTGGCCTTGAACTTAGAGATCCGCCTGCCTCTGCCTCCCAAGTGCTGGGATTAAAAGTATTTTTCTTATTACTGTGACAAAATGCCTCACAAGGGGCTTGAGAGGTGTTGAGTGGTTAAGAGTATGTGCTGTTTTTGCAGAGGACCCAAGTTCAGCTCCCAGCATCTACATTGGGCAACTAACCACCTATAACTCCAGCTCCAGGGGATCTGACCACTCCGACACCTGCACACATGTACACCTCCTCCCTTACACACTGTAATTGAAAATAAGACCTTTAGGGGAAAAAAAACCTCATAAAAGCAGCTCAAGGAAGAAAGGTCTTGTTTTGGCCCATAGTTTGAAGGTACAGTTCAGTATGGTGGGAAAGCATGGCAGCAACCATTGTAGCTGTGGCAGCAGAAGTGGGAAGCAGCTGGTCTCTGTTCAGTCAGGAAGCTGAGAGAAATGAATGCTGGTGCTCCACTTGCCTTCTTTTATTCAGCTCAGGATTCTAGCCCTTGGGATGCTGTCATCCATCAAGGTAGATTTTCTCTCCCCAGTTAAACTGCTCTGCAAACACCCCCACAGACATACACAGAAGTGTGTCACCTAGGTGATTCCAAATTCCATCAAGTTGACAGTCAAGATTAATCATCATGGGCTGGAGAGCTAACTCAGCAATTAAGAGTACTTGCTGCTTCCAGAGGACTTGAGTTTATTTCCTAACACCTACATCAGACAACTCACAACTGCCTGTAACTCCAACTCCAAGGAATCTGATGAATCTCCATAGCATCCACACACATGTGGCACACACACACACACACACAAAATGTTTTTTGTTTTTTGTTTTTTTTTGTTGTCTTTTTGAAACAGGGTCTCCCTGTGGCCCCAGCTGGCCTGGAACTTACTATTGAGAGCAGAGATCTGCCTGCCTCTGCCTCCCTAGTTCTGGGATTAAAGGCGTGTGCCACCATGCCCAGTTCCATGTTTAAAATCTTAAGAAAATGTTGAGTTATGAAGAATGATGGGGTCTATCTATAAACCCAGCATTTG